TGGCATCTTCTTGCCTCTATATTGATGCGGCGTGACATCTCACTACCACTACGATCAAGACTTTAAAAATCTGTGATACGTCCGGTGTTGTTATATGGTGCAGAAACATGGCCAATGATAACCAAACTGGAACAACAACTTCAATGAACCGACATGAAAATGCTCCGATGGATGCAACGAATTAGTCTGAAGGACCACATCAAATCTACCGAAATCCTGCGTCGTGCTGGTTTAGAAGATATAAAGGACGAATGCCGGCAACACCGTCTGCGGTGGTTTGGTCATGTCAAACGAAGTGGAAACAGTGCCATAACTTCTTTTGCAGATGTTGAAGTACCTGGCACACGTCCCAAAGGCCGTCCAAAGAAGTCCTAGTCGCAAACAATCGAGCAAGACATGAAAGCTCTAAATTTAAATGAAATGGATACAACTGATCGTCTAATTTGGCGCAAAAAGTTGATGGCAAAGAAAACAACGTCCTACCTCGGGAAACCGGGTCTCTGGACGCAAAACGAAGATTGATTGATTTTAACGATTTTAATGATTGAATAAACAAGTGATTGATCACAGTAATACACACAAGTGATTGCCAGCACTGTTTTCTTTCTGAAAATATTTCATCTGAAATAAGCCTGTTCAGGAGTCAAGAATCCACGTAGAAAGAAATAACCATACCCTACAAATTCAAGGAGTCGGTTATAACAATAAAAACAAATGAATAACCATTAATTTGGGCAAAATACATACATACAAAAAAACAAATGAATAACCATTAATTTGAGCATTTGCCTTAGCATCTTCTATTGCTTGTTCATTAAATTCAACACCAATAACTTTGTTAACATCCTGAAATATAGTTAAGGTTATTTCTTTTAAAATATTATTTTCGTTAAAAAAAATCTTTTTTGCTTCGAAATAACAATTTTTACGACTTGGAAAATTATTTTTTCAGAAAGATCGATTAGTAAAATTTCGGCCGGCGGACGTGACGCAATGCAGCTGCTAAAAATCCAACAAACGATTCAACAAAAAATGTTGAAATTGAATTAAGAAATTGAAGTAAAAATTTTATCAATACTTAAAAAAACTAATCATAAACTACCATGTAATAATTTTTACTATAGCAATGCAATTAGTGCAAAACAGGCGTCCTTTATAAAGCTTTAAACTTGGTACCATGAAAAATAAACAAAATGGAAATTGTAAAAGAAACATTAGAAAACTAACGTTGGCCATGCACAATCCTATCGTGCCTGTGCCGCAACACAGGTCCAGAAGAACAACGTCCTCATGTAACTTGCACATTTGTTTAACATTCGAATATAGAATTTCAGCTGCTGGAGTATTTACTGGAGAATGATTGAAAATTCTTAGAACGAAAAAATAATCAAACGTGTAATATAATGTCTGCGTAGTTGTCAATATATAATACATATTAATCAACGTAGCACGTGTTCATTGATATAATAAATGTTAAAACATTACATTTTATTAACATATTTTGCATAACAATTATATTTATATGGGGACACACGCACGCACACACACACACACACACGTATATATATATATATATATATATTCAAATATTTAAAAACTAATTTTTACCGACCTTGAAAAAATGACAGAGGGGAAATCCTAAAAGAAAGACCAAGCAAAGTTTCACTGATATACTGAAAAATTCAAAATAAGTGATTTGATTTAAAGCTTTTATTTTCATGAAATTTTTGATAAAAAGTGTTTCACAAAGAAATAAAATGCTACTTTGGTGTTCCTAAAAAGCCATTTGAATAAAAAAACTAAAGTATCATTCAAAACCAACAAAATCAAACCAAATCAAAATCTTGAAGAAAAACCAAGTGCAAAAGCGAGACATTAAAAAAATAAAACCGAAAAAGCTGATCACAAAAACATATACAACCAACAATATAATATACAAGCAGTCACAGATGTGAACAGGAACAAAGGCTAAAGAACACCTTATAATTTCGATAAGGTCCGTTTCGATAAGTCATTCAGTGTGAAGAACAAAACGCCCCATTGCAATAGAGGCCATCGCCCATGCACAGGCACAATAACAAACCATGCATATGCTCACTACGTGCACCTCAGCGATTATATACATGTCTATACATACATATTCAGCGATTATATACATGTCTATACATACATATGAACACATTGTATAGTTTTCATTTTAGGTTTTATTTTCTTGACCAGATCGGAAATACGTATAAGAGAAACACCCAGCCATGGCACCGACTGGTTCAGTCAGCCCGCCCTGAAAGCATGCAAAAAGACACTGTAGGCACCGATGCGGAGCATCAACCAATTCCGGAACGCCTCATATATATAAATAATAAAATTTATATATATATATATATATATATATATATATATATATATTCTTATAATACTTGCTGTCGTAACCGATTTACGATGCGACGAGTTCAAATCTTCGATTGAATAAAATATTCCAAACTATTAAACTTTATTTACAGAAGAAATCAACTAATCGTTTATTTCCAGTAAATTCGCACTAACGCAACAATTAACTTTTAAATCTTTCAAAATCTATCGCTATGACAACGTCAACAAACAAATCAAATATCGCTTTAAATAATTCACCGAATCGCTATTCACAAAATCACGAATTTCACTAATCACGAATATCACTAATCACGAATATCACTAATCAAGCATTTCACTAATCACCTTGCGACGTGCGCTTATATACTCTTCGCAAGCGTCGTTTCTAGATTCTTCTAGATGGTCCGATTCTAGCATACTCTAGAATGCTCCAGTCACTAGAACATTCTAGAATACGCTAGAACTTAGTGCGTTCGGTACACGTTTATAACATTACCCCCTTCTTAGTTCTGTTCGTCCCGAACAGCTTTCGTTCCGGTGTACGCATGGTACGGAGCCAGTCTATCCAAATGAACTATCTTCATTCTTGCTCTTGGCTTCCGATATTCCTGAATACGGTAGATGACGTCATTCAAGCGGGTGATGACTCGATAAGGTCCTTCCCACCCTCGCTGGAGCTTTGGAGAACGTCCTTTCTTTCGCTGTGGGTTGTACAGCCAAACTAACTCGTCGACAGCAAAACCGCCACAGCTTCCTTCCAAGTCGTATCTGGTTTTGGCCACCTCCGTGTTTTTCCTAATTTTAAGGCGTACGTAACGGTGGATATGGTTTAATCGCTGTGGAAGATTATCCACGTATTCTGTTAATGGTTGGTGTGGTTCAGGTGGTACGCCATATTTCATATCAGCTGCAGTTCTTAAGGTAGTCCCAAACAGGACTTTTGATGGCGTTTCTCCAGTAGTTGTGTGGATAGCACTCCGGTATGCCATAAGAAACAATGGTATATGACGATCCCAATCCCGTTGATTTTCGTCGACTACTTTAGCCAGATGTTCAATCAGGGTTTGGTTGAATCGTTCCACCATACCGTCAGACTGTGGGTGAAAAGGTGTCGTTCGAGTTTTGTTTATACCCAGCAGCTTGCACATTTCACCAAACAGTTGTGACTCAAAATTTCGACCTTGATCTGAGTGGAGTTCCAATGGGACACCATATCGACTAATCCAATTGAGTACAATTTCTTCAGCAACGGTACATGCTTCTTGGTTGGGTATTGGAAACACCTCAGGCCATTTGCTGAAATAGTCCGCTACAACCAGAATGTAACGGTTTCCATAATCTGATACCGAAAAGGGTCCAGCAATATCTATAGCAATCCGTTCAAAGGGGACACCAACATTGTAGATTTGCATTGCTCCTTTTAGCCTTCTTTTGGGTCCTTTGACTGAAGCGCATGTGTTACATTTTCGACACCAGCTCTCTACATCTTCTCTAACGTGAAGCCAGTAGAATCCTTCTCGTATTTTGTCAAGGGTCTTGTTCACTCCTAAATGTCCCCCAGAAGGGCCGCCATGCATTTCATCAAGGATTTCGGTCGTTCTACTTCTTGGTATTACAACTTGCATGCGGTGTTTTGATCCATCAGCTGATTCCCATTTTCGTTTCAGCAAATCCCCTTCCAAATACAAAGAGTCCCACTGAGCCCAATAACCCTTTAACACGGCACTATATTCTGAGATGCTTTGCCAGTCCGGTCGCTTGCCCTCCTTCTTCCATGTGATCAGATGTTGTAGGTCCTCATCCGCAAACTGTGCATCAGCAAGATCCGTCGGTGTCCAACCGTCTCCGCTGAT